TCTTATAAAACATCTCATTTTTTTTAAAGAAATTAAGTTTATGGTTTAAATCATTATATTATCATTGAACTTGATGATTAGACTTCCAAAGAGTATTTTAGAGAATTTTTCTCTCCTCTGATTATCCTTATTTCTAACTATAGTCTAAATTGTCACTGCATATAGATTCATAACTTTTTTCGCTAAAGATATCGAAATTAATTGTTGAAATGTGAGTATTTTAAATTGAATTCTTTAAATTCATACTCCTTGATAACTAATCCGTATTAGAATTTTGGATTAGCTCTCTTAAATCAAATTAGCTGATACTTGAGTCTTCCATTTTTTCAATGACTTATTATCCTGAATCTTTTTTTTGTAAATCTGATTTTTAATGAACTAAATTTATATTAGAATCACCTGCTGTGATTGGGTCAGAATAATATTAATTCAAAAATATATCAATTCTGTTTTATATTGATGAACTTAATTAAGAATTCATTTAGCTTTTAGATATATATTCACATTAAACAGCAATCTTTTCTTCAGTATTAATTTTATTTAGATTGTTCTAAATAATTCTATATTATCTTTTATTGTATTTAGTCTCATCAAATTACTCGAATTCAAACGAAATTTTTTTCAATATTTCTTAATCAAATTATTAAAATATTATCTCTTAATTTCCTCTGTTTAATACTATAGATTAATCTAAGATGGACTTTTTAGCTTGCTATAAGATCTTAAAATACTCATATTTTAGAAAAGTATTTAACTTTCTTGCTTAATAATCTAAAATTTCTCTTTAAAATTTATTTTGATCTCTACAACTGCACAAAAGCAAGTAAATTTTTGGAAAAGTGCTTCTGAATTTCTACATTATCTCATCTATCATTCTAACGGTCCAATAGCTAAAGAAAAATGAATTGGCAACTACAATAATGATTAAAAATGCAATTTTTGTGTAAGGATCTAAAATCACTGAACCTGTAGCAAAATGCGGGTTTTCCCTTATCCACTGCTAAGGTAAATCATTTATGAAAAATATCCCACAATAGATTGAAATCATGGAAGTAACTAATGAGACTATTTCAAGATTATTTAAATCATCAGTAATATAAGGTTTATTTATCATTGTCAACAGCAAGAAGCTAATAAAAATTTATCAATTAATAAACTTACAAAATTAAAATGGAGAATACAATTAAAGCTTATGCAAGTACACCAGTACTTCGAACAAAAACAGCCACTAAAATCAAAAAGATTTTCCTATACATGATAATGATCTCCCAAAAATAAAACTTTTGCTTAAATCCTCTGTATAAAAATCCATACATTTCTTTAATTTAAAGCTAATTTAATTAAAATCGAACATTTCTAATTAAAGTAAAGACAAATGCAGGTATTCCAATTCCCCATATTATGATTGAAGGAAGCGCAATAAAAAAACTGAAGAAATAATGTTGATTACTCCAGCAAATAACCTCTAAATCATGAATAACTCTCAACTCATCCTCAATATCAAAGCATTAAAAATTGTAAAACATTGATTGCACAATATTTGGATGAATTAAAAATAATACTATTACAATAGTAGATACTACTCTATGAGAAATTTTAGCCAAGTTTCTTTTTAATTTTTTATAAATTATCCAGAATCCAATACATAATAGTGATAAAAAAATAGGAGCTATTGATAAAAACAATATTTTAATGAATATTATTCTAACGCCATAAAATGGAGGCTGGTTTGAAAATTAAGTTTGATTGCTCATTCTTTAATCTAAAAAGCAATCAAAACTGAAAATCTAAATTGATACTTAAGCAATTGGTCTAGATGCTTAAAAAAAGTTCAGTAATTATCTAGGCCAATCTAAGTTAAATGAAGCAGTCAAAAATATTAATTAAATATGATTTAAAAGAATCTTTTGGTATATTCCAGTAAGATTATTTATTTCCTTAGCTCCAAGTAAAGTTGACCGAATTATTAAAATCACCAAAATTATTATTGCTAAAACTAGGAAGGTCAATCTTACAATGTTTATAGATCTCTCTGGGCATTTACTACATTCAAAATCATTTGTTCTTGAATAGCCAACTTGACAATCAGAACATAACACTCCTTGATAACCAATATTGCATGAGCCGATAGGATCATAATTTGGCTCTATCATCCCTAAGCAAGCTGGCTCATAAAGACATTGTATAAACAGAGAAGAGCTATTGGATTTTCTCCAAAAACCGGGTTTCGGGCCTATATTTGAGCCTCCACTACAAAGTGCTTTATCAGAAGGACAACTTTTACATTCACCAGGCTCTGTCATTTTTATTAAAGAAAAACTTTAGCCATAAGGACATTATTAACATTAGCCTTCTTGCGTAAATTATTCCCCGATACTACATTCTCTTACCTTAATTATTATATTCAAATCCAAATCAACTTTTTAATCACTTTATTAATGAAGATATTCTTAGTTAGATTGCTTCCTTAGATCAATACCATCAGATTTAAATGAGAGTGTATATTGTTATCCTGGAGTTGCAGAAAAACTAATCTCTTTAATAAGAATCATTCCTGCAATTGAATCAAAACTGGATGCTCCTTCAATTATAGGTGGATAAATATTAGCCTTTTTATCTTATTAATTTTCAACATTAACAGAGACCTTAATTTTACTAGTAAAGTCTGAAAACAAAATTTATCCATATTTATCTACATGAGCCAAGTATATAAGAGGAAGAGGCCCCCCACTTCTTTGATTTTATACATTATTATTGCCATTATCAAAAATACCTTCATTTAATGATCTTATAGGCAATTAAAAATTTTGATTTAAATTTCTTAATGACTAATCATCTTTTTTTAATACACCAAGTTCTAATAATTTAAAGTTATAGAAGGTCTAATTGATAACTATTAGATTCTAGGAATAACAAGCAATATTATCACCATATTAAAGAGCTTTATTTTAAGAAAAAATCATATTTAAAAATTGAGGCTCAACTGCATCCCAGAAAATAGCTCCACCTTTCATTTCAGCTAAATTTTTTGTAAATTTATTTTAACCTTCAAAAGCTAATTAGCATTTTAAATAAGTCTCATCGCATGTAAAATATATTGCTCCTCCTGCTCCTGCGATTTCTTATTTTTAATAAGATGACTGATATAGTGCTTTATTGTCATAAAATGTTGAATTTTCAATAGTCATATACTAAATATTATTAAGGAAAAGAGCACCCCCTGCTAAGCTTGCTACACAATTTTAAAAGTATGAATTTCTAATTTTGTATTTTCCAAAAGAATCAGAAACTATTTTATTACTTTCTTTTTCCTCAATATAAATTGCAGAACCCATTTAACTAAACAAGCTTGAAAACATACTTTCAGAAATGTAGATATTTCTACAGTTCAAACATTACAATGCCGCACCCTGATAACTTTTTATATTATTAATTTCTTTAATTTAACTGTTGATTATTTAAATGCCGCATTGCTCAGCATATATTGAATTTTTCGCCAATTTATTTACTATACTTACATAATGAAGTGTTAGATTTTTATCAGTATTAGAAGCATATATATCATCTCCTCCATCTTAAGCTTAATTCTATTTAAAATCTGTTTCTTCTATAATAATGCTTTAAAATCCTACAGCATAAATAGCCCCACCATTTTTAAAAGCTATATTATTTTTAAAACTACTTTTGCTGACTTTCAATTAACTATAGCCTGATAAGTAAATTGCTCCTCCAATTTAACTAAAACCATTTAAAAATTCAGAGTTTTAAATAATTAATTCCACATCAGTTATTAAGAATAAAAACGTTCCAATAGTCATGTCATTATGATTTTTTATGTTATCCTCATCCTTATCCATTTATGTTTTGATAAATTTTGTCTTGATAATATAAACAGTAGAAAATCCAATGAAAATATTCTTTGATCTTTAAATGGATTCATTATCCTTAAAATAGCATGATTCAATGAAAGTTTTGGAGAACATTAATGACATAGAATTTTTAAGTGCCTTATTTTAAGTAAAGTCAGATTATTTAATAGTGTTATTTTAGGATAGGCTACTTTAAATGACAGAAATAGTTGAAATTTCAGAAGCTTGATTTAAGTTAAATATGGTTCCAATAATGTCAAAGTATGACTCTGTTGTTGAGAAAATTACACCTGCTGAAATATATGCAAGATTATTAGTGAAAAAAGAAGCTCTTATATTCAAATAAGAATTCTGATTCATTTAAATAACACCGCCAATATTTCCAATATTTTAATCAAACACTGATTTATGTAGTTAAATTTTTGACTATTAAAGATAAAATACACCTCCTTAAGCTCCAGCATTTAAATAATATGCTGATTCGTAGTCTATAAATTCTGTATAAAGTAAAGTAAATACACCACCAAAATTCGTTATAAAGCAATGTTTAAATAAATTTTTCCTTGAATTCACTATGAGTGCATTTTTTATAAGTATATTGGATTGTATGCTAAATTAGGGATCAGTTTAATTTAAGTATTCTTTTATTTGACTAGGATTATAATTTTCTTTGCATATTATTCGATTATTTAATAGAGTTATATCTATATTAGAGGATGAAGAAAATATTGCAGCTCCTTCAGGAGAGTTAAATTCAGTCATATTTGAATTTTGTATTAATAAAGAACGTGCATCAATAATGTGAATAATACCACCTTTAGACTTAGCATATTCATGATAGAATGAAATATCAGTTAAATTTATCATCATCAATGGGTTATCAGAACTTATAAAACCACCAAGGTAAGCACTATTATATTAAACAGACAAACTTCTTGAAATTGAAAGCCAAGTATTATTTTGAAAACCTATCCTAGACTTACTTACTAGAAATACTCCTCCATCTTTGACGGAGGTATTATTATTAAAATTAGAGTTAGAAATATTAACTCTGACTTAATTATCTAACACAAATACACCTCCACTCAAGGCAGTATTTTGATAAAATTTTGTGCTATTTATATACATTACACATCTATCGCACAGGATCACTCCAGCACCAATTGCAGCATTGTCATGGTACAAGGAATATTATTCTATTAATTAAGTGTTTATTAAAGTATAAACTGCACCTTAGTGAAAGAAATAACAATTTCGATACTCATTTTAATAGGATATCACGCCAAGTTCGGAATTTTCTAAATGAATTGCACCAGCAAAGTTAGACTTTAAGTTTTATAAACTTTAATTTACTAATTCTTTGTCATATATCTCATTTGATTCAATAATAGTTTAACTTATGCTCAATTAAAATTTTTAATAATTCGAGTAAAGCAATGATCCAAATAATTTAGCACTAAACTTTTAAAACAACGACTTTGCTACTCCTTAACTGTCTGAAGTAATATTCAATAA